AAATTATTTTCATATACATCATCGTTCAATCATTTTCAATAAACAACAATTCATTAAAATTGTAATTATTTCGATTCCAAGATTTGTAAATTATTTTAAAATATATCTACAGATATTACAATGAATTTTTATTATTTAAAATTTAAATAAAAAAAGGATGATTAAACAATGTAGATAAATAATATGCTATATGACGAAATATTAGATTAATTTGTTCTTACAAATGATTTACTAATTTTTGTAAATTTATTAGTTGCATATTAATATTTAATACGATATATTGATTTTATTTATTTTTGCATCTGATTTAAAAAAAAATTCTTGGTCCTCAAAATTCCGGATAAATTAGGAAACATATTATCTACTCCTTCCTAATTTTCAGCAATATTAAAGTTTAAATACCCAATTATTAAATAGATAATAAATATAATTTTTAATTATTAAAAAAAGTTAATTAATTTTAATTTCAAAGATATTTAATTAATTTGTATAATTTATTATTATTAGATAAGCTATTTCATAAAACAACAAAAATTCAAATCATTATTTATACCGAACTTATTATGATATAAATATTTAATTTTAATCAATTCATTCAATTAGTTTTCTCAGAAAATATTTGATAAAAATAATTGGTTTTTATTTACAGATCTTATATTATATTGTTCCTTTGTATTGAATAATAATTATTTTTACGTAATTTTCAATATAATCATCTAATAACATTTTTAATTTTTTTTCATAAGATACATTTTTTTTATGTTAAAGTAGTACTTTTAGTATTAAACATTATTTTTACTTACAGAAACGTGTATCTGATTATTTCAATAATTTTTTTTTAATATTAATGAAATTTTGAAGTTCAAAGTTTATCTTTATCAACTTTTTAAGGAACTTTTTAATATTTACATTAATTTCAAATTTCAATCTATATAAATGAAATTTCAATTTATATTAATTCAATTATTTTTTTACAGTAGGAAAATGTAGACGAGCTAAAATATTGCACAATTATTTTTAGATATAATAAAACTATGAAAATATTTTGATTATGACTCATTTAATAAACTATTACAATAAGTAATGAAAGTATATAATAAAATATTAAAATAAAAATAAATAGTGGATGAACAAAATTTGATGAGTAGTAAGAGAAAATATGCTAGCACAAAATAAATTGGCAGCACCTTCAAGATTTTAAAATAAATAAATAAAAATTTTATATATAAAAACAAATAGATGAATATAAGAATTATGAAAAAGAAGAAAGAAATGTTTGAAAAATAAATATATTAATATCAATATATTGTAAACATTTTATTTGTAATATATTATTACATGTATATATACATAAGATAAACAAATAACATAATTTATATTTTAATTGTAAAATATTTCTAATATTTTCATTTAATCATTTTTCATATTAATTTATATCTGTATTATATATATATATATATATATATATATATATATATCATAACTATAAATTGGTTTTGATATCTAAGTTTCTATCAGTCAAATTTAAAGTAAAGTTATTTTAAAATAAAGTTTTGTTTCTTGTAAACATTATTGAATAAAACAATATCTCATATTTAATGATTTTTTAATGTTTACTCTTTATTAAAGAAACGCATTTAAGAGCCACTAGTTCTTTAATCGATCCCAAGGGGAATTTAATTCCATGACATCTTTCCTCCAATAGCATTTGGTCGCGCTTGCAGACATAAATCGCACCTCTTCTCCCGATACCTTGAATTTTCACTAAATTTTCGTGTAAATTGACCTTTAAACTATCGTTGGCTCAACGATTCTTTATTACACGATATATAATTTTGTTAATCTTAACATATTATCAGTGCATTACTTATTGTTTAATTTTATTCGCGTTATTCTACCTACTTTTTATTCCTCTATTTCTCTTACTTCTATTACTTAACCAAATATGTATATAATTCATCTGATTAACAATTGGTGCATTATATGCCCATTTGCACATTTTTCAACGAGAATAATTCATGATAATGTCGTTTTTATTAATACTTAGTCTTTTACGGCAAATAAAGGACAAACATCAGTTTAATTTATTTAGTATATTACTTTATTGCGTATATTACTAATATTAAGTGTTATGTGCATAACACTTAATTCAATATATTTATATATGATGATAAAATTACATAGAAACTTTTAAAAATTAATATTTACTTTCTTTTATTCCTGATTTATTTTATAATTTTATGGATTTACTATTCATTCTGTTTATTACGTAAATTCTATTTGATATTTAAAATTTTAACAAAGTTAATATTCAGTGTTAGTTGGTTATTTTTATTAATTGAATAGTAAATTAATAAAGTTATAAAAATATAAAACTCTTATAAAATTTATATATGTAATAATTTAATTTTTTTCGTTTTTGAATTAATTTTTATCTAAAATTTAAAATTGATTAGTTTTCTTATTATAGCATAGTTTATTAATAGTTTAAATATTTAAAAAATATATATGTTATAATTATACTATATTTTTCTAATATTCTAAATATTTATCGTATTTAGGTTTATATATATATATAAAGATAGAGAGAATTTATTCCTAATTTATAATAGTTTTATTATTTACAAATATAATTTTCATAATTTAATAATATTTATATAGTCATAAATAATCATTTTGATGACTGCACAATATAAAAAGCAAATTTTAAATAAAAAATTAATTTTATAATAATTTCCAAAAATTTCTCTTATTTTGTAATTGTATTATTAATTGGATAATATTATATCAATATTATTTTAATTATGAAGTTATTTATATTTACCAATCACTCATCTATAAACTACAAATACGCTATTTGAAGTAAAATATTGTGCAAAAAGCAATTATAGTAAAATACACAAATGTAATTTCATTTAAGTCCATTAATATATATGATTTTGAAACAGTCATGAATGGGTTTAATCTTTTTGCAGTTATATTATTAATTCAGTAAGTAAGATTTTTATAATTATATTATATACTAAAACAAAAGTAATTCTTAGTATAATATTGACTTACGATATAAAAACTTAAAATTGTCTGAAAGATAAATTTATATTTAAATTACCATTTGTTTTTATTAGACAACGTAAAAAAAATGAAAATTTATAAACATAGAACAGAATTAAAAAGAATATTTCAGTCTCGTGTGTATATATAGATATATACAAAATATATATGATATAAGATAACTAAATAAATTAATCATAAACTCGTAAATGAAATATATAAGTTTGTTTGAAAATAGTTATTGAAATATTGAATGAAAAACTAATTATTCTATTGATTAAGAGTGCTTAAATAAGTATACTGAAAATAATAGATTTGATAAAAAATTTTAATAAACATTTGAATTAAAATGAGGTATTACCATACATAAAATTTGATAATATGTAAGCGTACAAAGCTTTAAGAGAAATTGTACAAAGTTATTTAAAGTATATAAATAAACAATTAATAAGTATAAGAAAAAATTTTCATAATATATTAAACCATGTTGTAAAATATATATATATATAATATTATAAATAAGTACTGGATGTATAACCCAATGCTTATTTAGCACTTAATTGAGAAATCATTGTTAATATATTTAAACTACCATCTAATTACTTAATTATCATTTACTTCATGTGAAAGTTTAAATATTTATAAAGTGAATTTGACAATTTATTCTTTTATTATTTAAGCTATAAGAGTTTATAAGTTTTTATTTTTATATAGTATTATTATGTATGACTTTCTAATCGATTTGATCCATTATTATATAAATTACTGTATTAACGGATAAATAATCAATTACAAATGTGCTTACCTATACGATTGATGCATAGTAATAGAAAAAAAAATCAAAAAAAAGGGGGGGGGCGGGTAGAAAGATACGAGATGTTGTAAATAGGATAATATAAAGCTATAGAGACTGGAAGGAAATGAAGTTGTAACGAACAAGATGAACGAAATAGCGAAGGAACTAGGGAACTGAAATAAAAAGATTCTATTCAATTTTATAAGAAACTGTTTAATGTTTAAGATGTTGCTTTCGAAATATCCATGTGGATATAGTAATGAATAGGAAAAAAAAACTGTACTATTGATAGAGACACGAGGGAGAGTATAAACGATGGAAGTAGAGATAGAAAACGATATCGTTACTATAAGACTAAGAGCGAAACTAAATCAGCTTGAGATAAAGCGCATGCGAGAACAAATCATGTTATTTCATATAGTATATCGCCATTTTCTACACGTATATATACATACTTGGTTCGATGTCTGTGTAGCACTAGAGAAATTAGAGAATAAAATAAAATAAGTAAATAGGTAAATGAGTGTATGTATTTATATATTGGAAAATGAAAAGAATCACGGATAGGGAAAGAAAAGGAAAAATAGAAAGATAAAATAGAGGGTAGAAAGGGCGAAAGTATTGAATAAAGTGAGAGGGCAGGGTACGCTGTGTGAGTTGAGTAGGGGTACTCCAGCGGCAAATACAGTGGCGAGGGTGAAACAAGGATTCTGCGCACACGATCGTGATGCCGGTGGCAATTCTTCATACAGCATCCCTCGTCAGTTGCAAATAGGAAATTGTGGTGCTGGCTGTGTTTTCAGTAAAAAAAACAAATTCGCGTGAAGTTTCCCTTGCAAATATGCCGGTTTTGGACGTTTCCGATTTACTTAAATTATTTTGTATAAAGTAAACGATGCTACGAAGTTAAGTAGTAACGGTAAAGTACTAGGAAGAGTAAAGTGGCAACAACGTTTTCTAATTCTTTCAGTTTCTCTTCTTAGTTAAAGTTCTTTTTTTTTTTTAATAGCTCTAAGGTACACAATGGTTTAATATTGATGTTTAAATATTTATGTTATACCGAAATTTCGTAACGAGTGAGCAGAGTAAAAGAAAAAAGGCTTGTATCTGAATGTACAAAAAATAAAAGTAAAGTGCTTCAAAAAATAGTCAGACAACTGCTGTGGCCACGAAGATGGACAATACTACTGAAAAGCTTCAAAGACTCATTATTTGCCTGCTTATACTTGTTGTTGGTGGTAAGTCAAAAGAAAATATGATAGAGAAATTGTACTCGACTCGACATGAAACCAATCGAGTCTTACGAAATCTAAAAATGGTAGTTGCTTCCAAAAAAAGAAACTTTAGCGAAACGAATTGCTTAATAGTCAATTTACGAATATTCAAATTTAGTAAATCAAAACTTTGTACCTCTCTTGTAATACTTGAGTTACTCGTCAGATATATTTAATGATATTACAACTTTTAAAAGTTCTTCATATTTACCGACTATAAAGTTTTATATGTTTTGATAGTATGTAAGCATAATAAATTAAAATTTTGTATTTTTACATTTTAAATTCATTTTTACTGAAGTTTTAAAGTTATATATATATATATATATATATATATATCTGTTTTTAATCGAATCCAGCTTTACAAATTTTTACATTTATACGAAATTTATAATTGTTGATATCCTTCAAGAATTGAGTTTTTAAGAAAATTTGAAATAAAATTTAAAAAAAATAATTATAATAATTATTTGTTCGTTTTCCGAAAATTAGTTATTTGATAAAGAACGTGTTACTGGAATTTCATTCGTGCCATAATACGTTTTAGTCAATCATATATTTTAAATCAAATGCATGCAAGGAAATGAAGAGTTTCCTAGACGTAATTTAAATTAAAATCTTTGCTCGATTACGTGTATCCAAAAATAAAAAAGTGGTATTGCCGTTTTTTTTAAGCAATAGCAATTGTTATTTCCATTAAATTTTATTTATATCGAGTCAATTAATTCATTGTTCCTTAGTTTCAATTCTTTTATTCTAAATAAATATTGGAATATAAATTTAATAATAAATTGAAAATTGGTAAAAGTTTTTTTCGAAAGCAATGATATGGCCTCACCATAATTAACTTTTGAAAGATTCTCATTTCTTTAATCTTTGTCATCATGATGTGCTCTTGAAACTGAAATAGTTTTAATATGCATCAACCAATTTTACGTTAAATCATAATATTCATATTTATCTTTTCATTATCTTTTATCCATTTTCTGAGGTTATCTTTTATATTTATCAATTAAAATCACAAATTATAAATAACTTCCTATAGCTGAAATTTCTAACTTTCTTTAATTTTCAAGTGATTGAACATTTTTATGTGTCTTGATTAATAGTTTTTCATTTCATTATAATTATTAAAATACGAATAAAATATAAAATAGGCATTAAAAATGTAACGAAGATCAATTATGCTATCTGAAAATACAGCGTTTCGAGAATATTTTAACTACGTTAAAGTAAAAATAAAATTGCAGGTTTTACTAACAATATAAATATATATAATATATATATATATATATAACTTTTTTATTTTCATTCTTTATTTCTATAATATGGTATTATATTGTAAAACCAAACGTTTAAATAAGTGAATATTTATCCAATTGAATATTTCTCAATTAAAATTACATTAGTTTCAGAAATTTCAAAACATATTTTGCTTAATTCATAATCAAAATATATAATAATGATTGGATAATCATAAAAAAATGATTAAAAATTAAAACACACACATATATGTAAGGTGATACCGAAAATATTGTTTTTGATAATTTTACATATAATTTAAAAATTTAAATACTCATACTCTTTTTTATCAATTAATTAATTAACAATTCGTTACAAATCGTGACATTATATCGAAAATTGTCATTATTTGAATAATTATTTGAATAATTCAAATTCTCAATACTTTCATGTATTATTTTTAATATTTTTATAATTATGATAATTATGTTTTGATTTAAATAAATTAAATACAACCTTTCGAATTTGTTTTAATTAAAACATTTATTGAATAGTGAATAAAATAAAATAAGCTATTTCTCCATAATGATTTCGTTTAAATTTGTGTCTACAATTATGGATTTATTTTGGATTGATAAATTCATTTTAAATATATATTAAAGCTGTTATTCTATTTATTATTTATTATAAGAAAATATTGTAATATCTATTATTATTTATCCATTATTCGAAAAAATATTTTTAATTTTTAATCAATTTAACACATAGTTTTGTTATTTTTACAAAACTCAAGAATTCTAAGGATCATTGTATTGCATTTTTAGCACTCGACAGCATATTTATTTTCTTTCTAGAAATTTCTATGTTTACATATGTGAATTGATATATTTTTTAATTTAAAAAATTAACAATAATATAAATTAAAATATTTCAACTGCAAAAGTCACTTTAAATTAGAAATAGATTTTAAAACTTGTAAATTCATTCGATTTTATAATCTGCTTTACTACTAATTTAATAGATAAATTATTGACATTTCAGGATAGAAAATTTTAAAAATGAAAATGAGAAAAATAAGTATTTATGCATGTATACACATGCGCGTGTATAATGTAAGAATAAAATTTTGATTAAATAGAATAATCAGTTTTAAGCAATCTTAAGCTTTCATTTTTATTGTGATCCGTTCTTCATACGTTGATTTGATTTATCATCTTTACTACGTCATTTAATCAATTTTATTTATCAATACTAATAAGAATTATACTAATGTAGACATAAAAATAGAAATTTATTTAAAATCTACGAACTTAGTGTAAGACACTAAATAAGTCATTTCTTGTAATTACTGTATAATTGATTTTTTATTTTGTCTTGAAAATCACAATTATTAAGATAAATTTGACTTCGATTATTATAGAATTAATAGTTTAGATTAATTGATAGACTAGATTTCTCGAAGGAAATTATTGTTAAAGTTTAATTAAATATTTTGATATTTAAATTACTATATTAATTCTATTATATATATAAGATGAAAACAATAAAGTAGAAATAACAGAAATTTAGTTAATTAAATCTGCCTGACGACACAATATTTTTTGATATTTTAAATATCAATTATAAATAAATTTTAAATATTAACTGTATGAATTGAATATTAAAACTAATCAGCAAGTGGAAATTGAAATATTTTCGATTAATAACACAGTGTAGATCATGAAAACAGTTTAAAAATGATTAAAAACATTTTAAAATGATTAGATGTATATTGTTTTTTATTTTTAAATAAATTTGAATTAGTATTTTAAATAAGGTATTTGTTTTATCTTTTTTTCACATTTAAAATAGCTTCTAAACATAAATATAGTGTAATCTATAATTTCTGTTTATTAATTGACAATAAAAATAAATAAACTAAATTAAATAATTAACATTTATCAGAGTGATTACTTGTATTATACATATCTACTTATTTATCTATATTGGTTATATTATCACTATTTTAACGTTCTTCTATTCAACTATTTGTTAAAATTCGTTTCTCATTTAATTTATTTTATAAAATTAAAACATATATTGTTTTATCATATGTTAAATTATATCTAATAATTTTAATAAATATCTGAGTAGTTTGAATATAAATTGAAATTTATCGAAAAGTATTTGTTAAGGTCCTTTTGTTCATTTCTATCGAATATAACTAATTAAAAGAATTATATGCTCTTGGCTTTTGGCATCCGCTTAGAGTAAAAGATCTGAAATATATGTGTGTGCGCGCGCGTGTGCGCATGAGCGTGAGTTAATGTGTGAGTAGCAAATTTCTTATAGATGGAACTACCTTTTTTATTGACTATATCACTATACCACTATAACTGTGAAGCGTAACTAGCTTAGGTGTTAAATTTAAATTTAAATCGATTTTGATAACCTGCTGACCGAAAAATATTTAGAAACATCTTTTCTTCGCTAAATCGTACGAATGACTAATTATATCGAAATATTTTTTTAGCTTTTGAATCAATCCTTTTTAATATAATATAAAAAAAATGTATCTTTTCTGTTTATCTGTTTTAGAGAAATTTATGGTATAAGTTTTTAATAATATATTTTAATATCCATAAATTCTGTATATTAATATAAAATTAATAGCCAAAACATAAACTGATCTCTCTTATTGAAATTACGTATATAAATTTGGACTAATGTGTTAATTTATATTTTAAAATTAGTACTGTAATAACAAAAGAAATCGGTACTTGAACAAACAGAACATTATAGCATGCATTTAGTATGGTAAGAATAGTTAACGTAATTAAAATAAATTGGTAAATAAAAAATTTTAGCATTTATAAGATTAACGAATTACAAGTTAAAAAACAACATGACAATAAATCAATTGTAAAAATTCATTCAGTTTTAGATTTTCACAACATCAATATTTATGTTAAAATTAACCTATGCCAACATTTACGTAGAGTAAATTGTTCATTGACACTTACTTATACCAGAATTTATGCTTAAGTTGTAACTAAAGCACATAATTAATAGTATCTTAATAGTGGTTTTAAAGAAATGGTGATAAATTATTTATATAATATAAGGGTTGATTGAGGCTCTACGAGTTTCATCTACGTGAAATATAAGGTATTTAATACAACTGTGATTTACTAAACTAAACATAACAACAATTTCATTCGAGAAATCTGGTCAATCAATTAATTCAAACTATTAATTCTACAATAATCGAAGTCAAATTTATCTTAAAAATTGTGATTTTCAAGACAAAATAAAAAATCAATTATACAGTAATTACAAGAAATTACTTATTTAGTGTCTTACACTAAGTTCGTAGATTTGAAATAAATTTCTATTTTTATTTTTTCATAAGTATAATTTTTTTATAATCATTTTCCATGTTTATATACTCTATACCAACATTCAATATACCTGTTATTCAGTTACCCTTAAAATGTGTCGAAACAATTTGAGTTACATGTTATACAAACAATAGTAATAGAGATCTCATTTTTCTGGAAAAGTGTTGTGCAGATGTCGAATGAAAGTTCAGTACTCGTATGTAATTATCTAAGACGTCATGAAGGTAAAAAGCATTTCGTAAGCGGTCTTCTCTTATTTCTCAAGTTTAAAGATTCTCAAGTTAAATTATTCCAAAATATATACGCTCTTTTATTTCTCAAGTTTAAGGAATTTCTCTAAAA